GGGGGTGTGTGTGTGCATCGCTGGGGGTCGCCGCACTCCTGCGGACTGCGGAGCTGTGCTTTGCGAAAGGTGGCAGCCCCAATACCGACTTTGTAAATCCAAGGTTTAGTCCATAAGCCGGTTTGAGAGGGTTAACTTGTGTGTACGGCTTATAAGCGGCGTGCTTGTAAGATGTTTTCATGTATATGAAGGAGTTTATTTTTTTCCAGTGAAACTTACTCTTGTGGTCACAAGCTTGGAATGCATCTAGCTTTATAAGTAGCCTGTTTGGATGATGAAATCTAAACTAACTTTATCCGTTTTGGTGGACTCTTGGTGCTCAAATAATATAATCTAATGAAATTGAAGCAGAGAAGTAAAAAGGTGCTTACGTTCAACAAGCTAACGGTAGGACATGAGATAAACACAAGTCTGTTACGGCTGTAAACATTGAAGACCGGCGTAGCAGCACATCTGTTTATATTTGTTCCAGAGTAAGGCAAACTTGCTCTGATCACATGGGAGATAAAACCTTGAGCACACAAACATTTCTTAACAAGTCGAGGAGTGCCTAGGTGACATTCCCTCAGTGTTTGGTAGGGCTTTTTAAAGTAGAGGTAGAAAACCGTGGAGCAGAACGCTGCTAAAGGACTTTGGAGAAAAGCCAGACCTCCTTTCTTTCTGCAGGGCGAAGTGCAGCATTACAGATCGGTAACATTATTTATAAGCTCAGTGGCTGGGTGTGAGGGGAGGGTGTTTTTAGTTGCTTTTTCTTTCTTTTGAAGGAAAGGGGATCTAACTTCTGAACTTGCTTCTTTCTTGTGGTTTTGAGCAGATGTTGTTTAAACAAGGTTGTAACACAAAGTAGTGTTTTCTTTAATAGTGCCCTGATTCTGATTTATAGATTACTTATAAACAGATATTGCCAGTCATTGAAAAAGAGAATGGTCAAAGGCTAGACTGAAAGGATTCTTCGTTTTTTACCTAGTTCTTCAGGAACTAATTCCTGTATGTTAAAGGTATTTATGGCACAAATAGCGCTTAATATTGCTGAACGTGGTTATTCTGAATGCTAAATGCTGTTGCAACACACAGCCTTCTTAAGGGAACTCTGTATGTGGTATACTGATATGATACAATGGTAAACAAAGACTGTTGTGCGGGTGCTTTGGCTCCAGATTGCAGGTGAATGTATCTGGAACAGCTGAAGCGATTATGGCTCCTTCTTTGCTGCTGCAGATTATTGCCCACACGGTGGACTTGGCAGGGCGGGTCACGTATCCGTCCCTACGCCACTGCAGTTTACAGCCCAGTGTGCTTACGTAAACTGAAATAAGTGACAGCTTGTGTTAATGTTGTAGATTTTAAACTAGGATGTCAAATAGTGGAATCGGTAACTGTCATTTCCAGTTCAATATGCCTGCAGGTGTGTGTCGGAGCACCGATATTAATAGCGCTCTGGGCAGCAGCAGGCTCTTTATGGACGATCATCATGATTTAAGGTGCTTCCCTCTCCTCCCTGCCTTATTGCAGGAGGTTACTGCTCTTCTGATGGCACCAGTAGAGCAAAAAGTGTGCTCAAGCCTCACCTGCTCTGCCTGGCTGGCCGGTGCAAACCCATCAGTATTGCTAGTTTAAAGTAAGGTCCTAGACTTTGAGCTGAGATAGATGCGTGTTGCGTTTGGCTGTCCCTGCCATACAAATAGTAGCCCCTGGCAAAAGAGTGGAATTTTGATAGGAGGAACATCTCAAATCACTACAGTGGAAATCTGCCAGAGTGTGAGGGTTGCCAAGGTTTCCTAATATAATGGAGTTTAACATAATTGGAATACTTGTTTTCTTAGCCCCATTTAGCTTCTTCCTTGTTCAGTCATTGAGTCTAATACATTAAAATGAAACTGTGCCACTAACTTCAGCAAATGTGTTCCTTTTAACAGAGCAAATGAACACTCTTATCTGGTGCTGTATGCTGAAGTGAGAATTGGGGAGGCTGGCTATGCTCCCTTCTGCCTTACTTGAAGAATCTTTAATTAGAATTTAGTTGACAACTTTGGACATGCTTTGACAATAAGAATTGAATACGTTCTAGTATTACTTATGTAACAGTCGTGCTACTTGATAGTATTGATGCAGAGTTATTAGTGAAACAAGTATGAAATAAAGATAAATAAACTGAGATTGTTAAATAAGAACTTGCTCTTACAAGCAGGTAAGAGCACTATAATCACTGCTCGATTATACTTTACCACATTTAAAAAGCACCCAAGTACCATGGGCTTTCAGCTTCATTTGCACAGCTTGTGAGGCCAGGACTGGCATTATCAGTCTCGGCAGCTGAACTGTGGAGGCTTACTCTATGTAAAACTTGATTATATTTTTTGAGATTGGAGAGAGGAATGATTTTCTTTCCCATTTCCTTTTCTCCTTTCCTTGTGCGTGGGGGTTGGCATTCTCAGAAACATTAACAAGTGCAGTCACTATTTTCCACCAGTTAGATCTAGTAGTACTTGGGTATTTCTAAATAAAGTTCTGATGCAAGTCCTTGCTGATTTCCTGTAAGTAGTCATGTTTGTTGTTTGGGAAATACAGAGGGGTAGGTGGGTTCAGATGAAATTATTTTCCAACACTATTCCTTGGAAACTTTCTAAAATACTTGTTAATATTTTCTTTGTTTAATCATCTGAGGTAGTGTTACCAACAAAAGCTTGTAACTGTTACTACTTATTTTGACTCCATTTGCACTTGGTCAATTAAATAGGAGGAATGTGTTACATTTTCTGGCTTGTGATAGGGTAACATGCTGCGTTTTATTATAATAACATGTCTATGAGAATGTTTATGCCAGGTATGACAGTATTTTCATCCGCTCTGTTTTCTGGGTCTGACTCATGAAAAAATAGGCTGTGTTTTACTTTTAGAGAGCTGGTACTTGGTACATGTGGAAGCATCGCTGATGGGTGATAGAGAAGTTGTGGTAGATCTAAGATCTAATTTTCCTTTTATCTGAACTCTCAGATTTACTGAAATCTGTCTCTGAAGCTGTTCTAAACGAAAGAACACAAAAATCGATACATCTTCAAAGTACTCTGGTTCTTTAGCGGGGTGGGATTTTGCCTGTAATCATAATTATGAGAGGACTCGGAGTTCTGCAAGGGTTTGATTTAATTTAAGAAGGTTCTTATAACTCGATTTAAATAATTCAGATACATTTTTTTATTCATACACTTAGAAGTGTTCTTGAAGATGTGAGCTGAGATCAAGATCTTGATAATGTTCTCACAGTGAGGTTAATGTGAAGCGTTCTTTAAATGATAGCATTAATTTTTGTGCTAGTGCAGTAAAATCTGGGTAATGTTAACTATTTCTGTTACAGGTCGGGAGTTCATTATCCCTTCGCTGGCACACAGGTTCATAGCAGAGATGGTGGACTTTTTTATTCTGTTCTTTATAAAGGCAACCATTGTTTTAAGTATTATGCACCTCAGTGGAATAAAGTAAGTTGAACAATTTAAAGCTTTATTATATACAGCTTTAAGCTCTTCATGCTCTTTGAGGTGTCATGATGTATATGTGGCATGCTTATGCATATGAATGGCACATAGTAACTCTCAAAAGTTGAGGAAGAAGCAACACCATGAGATTAAACTTCTTTTAAACACTTCCTTATTTTCGGTCAGATGATGGAAACAAGGAATTTGTACAGGTGTCTCCATAGGCTCACAAACTCCTTACTAAGGAGAGATTGGACTTGCAGTCTTATTTTTGGGAGGCAATAGCAAGATTTTTAAAAAGTCCTGTAAAAATTTCAAAGAAAAAACATTGACAGACTTGTTTTTTAAGGAGCCTTCAAAAATGGACTGGATCTGGCCGGGATGGAGTTAATTTTCTTCATGGCATCTCCTGTGGTGCTGTGTTTCAGATTTGTGACCAAAACAATGCTAACCCACAACAATGTCAGATATGTATGTACCTTTAAAATACAGCCTGGTTGCTAGGAATGCTACCATGCTGCAGTCCTTCTTGGGCTTAAGTTGGGTTTCTTACACACAATGCTTAATCATACTTTTTATCACCTATACACTAGACTGAAAGATTCTTCATTTCACATTTTATATTCAGATGTAATCATTTCCCTCAAAGATTGTTTCTATTTTTATATGCTTCTTCAACCATAGAGATCTGATTCCGTAGCTCATTTAGTTCCTCTGCTTTGGGTTGGTGTAATCAAGTATTTAGGTCTGATTAGGAGATAAGAGCTTGGTGCAGTCAGTAAATCCATTACTGTACAAACACATTTCAGAATCCAAGTTTTCTGCTAAAGAACCTTGCTGTCTGTAAACTGATACTGTGCAGACAACATCTCTCAGACACCTTAAACTGCTGCTTGAAAGGGGTGCAGAAGAGGGTCAAATCCAAAACAATAAATATGTCAATGTAAATGATCAGTGTTTTTTGTTTGGATAAGCATGTGATTAAAATGCCAAACACTCAGCTCTGTTTAGTTGCCAAAACCTCAAGCTCTAACCTGACAGCTTGTATTTCCATTTTGTTTAAGTAGCCTGAGGATGATGCAAAATTAAGTACTTGAAAGTTGGGGAGCAACTGCATTACTTCTGTGAAGTGGTGAAGGTAATGGAAAGAGAGGGAACGTTTTTCAATTAATTTGCAATATATTCAATGTTACTATTTTTGCAAGAGCTCATAAGTTGCGTACAAGTAACTTCAGTGAAACATTTGCTAGTGAGATGTGGTGTGGTTGAGGTTAGGCTGAGGAGTTGTCATGAAAAAATACATCCTGATAGGCTCAAGACAGAGACTTCAGGCCAAGGTTGTCTTGAAGGGAAGTGCAGGTTATGCCACACTATTTTCTTAATTCCTTATCTTTTTCGATCCTTAAGTCTGAATAAAAAGGAGGGCAAGTAGTACAAATATAGAGGGACTGTTTTGAAGTGGGACTGGACATTTGCACGTGAGTAGTAATTCTCACTTAGGTGTGTGAGTGAAAAGTCATGTATTCATAGAATAGGTTGGGTTGGAAGGGACCTTTAAAGGTCTTCTAGTCCAACCTCCTCTGCAATGAGCAGGGACATCTTCCGACTAGATCAGGGTGCTCAGAGCCCTGTCCAGCCTGACCTCGAATGTTTCCAGGGATTTACCACCTCTCTGGGCAACCTGTTCCAGTGTTTCACCATCCTCATTGTAAAAAATTTCTTCCTTATATTTAGTCCCAGTCTACCCTCTCTTAGTTTAAAGCTGTTACCTCTTGTCTTATCACAACAGACCCAGCTAAAAAGTTTGACCCCGTCTTTCTTATAAGCCTCCTTTAAGTACCAAAAGGCTGCAATAAGGTCTCCCCAGAGCCTTCCCTTCCCCAGCCTGAACAACCCCAACTCTTTCAGCCTGTCCTCACAGGAGAGGTGTTCCATCCCTCTGATCATTTTTGTGGCCCATCTCTGGAACTGCTCTAACAGTCTGTGTCTTTCCTGTGCTGAGGACTCCAAGAGCTGGACTCCAGGGGGGGTCTCACAAGAGCATGGTAGAGGGGCAGAATTGCTTCCTTCCACCTGCTGGCCATGTTTCTTGTTATGCAGCCCAGGATACAGCTGTCTTTCTGGGCTGTGAGCGCACATTGTCGGCTCATGTCCAGCTTTCATTTACCCGTACCCCCAAGTCATCCTTGGCAGGGCTGTTCTCAATCCCTTCATCCCCCAGCCTGTATTGATACCAGGGGTTGCCCCAACCCAGGTGCAGGATGTTCAACTTGGCCTTGTTGAATCTCATAATGTTCACATGGGCCCTCTTCTTGAGCTTGTCCAGGTCCCTCTGAATGGCATCCTGTCCCTCAGGTGTGTCAGCCACACCATTCAGCTTGGTGTCATCTGCAAACTTGCTGAGGCTGCACTTGATCCCATTGTCCATGTCACTGATGAAGATATTAAACAGTACTGGTCCAAATATGGACCCCTGAGGGACCCCACTCATCACCAATCTCCATCTGGACATTGAGCCATTGACCACTACCTTCTGGATGTGACCATCCACTCAATTCCTCATCCACAAAACAGTCCACCTATCAAATCCCTCTCTCTCCAGTTTAGAGAGAAGGATGTTGTGGGGGACCATGTCAAAGGCCTTATAGAAGCCAGATAGATGACATCTGTAGCTCTTCCCTTGTCCACTGATGTAGTCACTCAATCATAGAAAGCCACTAGGGTGGTCAGGCAGGACTTGCCCTTGGTGAAGCCATGCTGGCTGCCTCAAATCACCTCCCTGTCCTCCATGTGCCTTAGCGTAGCTTCTAGGAGGATCTGTTCCATGATCTTCTCGGGCACAGAGGTGAGGCTGACAGGTCAGTAGTTCCCAGGGTCCTCCTTTCTACCCTTTTTAAAAGTGATGCAATGTTTCCCTTTTTTCCAATCGCCAGGGACTTCACCTGATTGCCAGGACTTTTCAAATATGACAGAGAGTGACTTGGCAACTACACCAGCCAGTTCCCTCAGGACTCTGGGATGCATTTCATTAGGTCCAATAGACTTATGTATGTTTGGGTTCCTCAGGTGGTCACGAACCTATTGCCTAAATACATGTTGCAAGTATGTCCATTCCAGGTATCAGATAAGAATGTTAAATCTGTAGAGTGTGTCTTGTGAAAATACAGGATTGACTCCAAATTGATGCTTTGCTGTCTTTGTTACGGTAAACAGCTGAAGATTTCAATTGATTTGATTTAAGTTAAAAACTTGCCTGCCTCTAGGGGAGTATGGTGAGCAGTAAAGACTACTGAGAAGGAGGAACCCTGATCATGCGAGGGAGGATAGGTGTCCCTTGCATTTTATAGGCAAGAGTGACGCCTTTTCTTTTTCCTTGAGAGTTCCTGTAAGGAGGAGACTTGGATGGCTTCCATTTCTGCAGAGTTAGATGATCACATGATGAATCTCGTGTTTATCTCCGAAGAAGTGTGAGAATTTTCAGAACAGTTTCGCAGCTCACTACCCAGGGATGCCATTGTGCAGAAGTGGTAATAAAGAATGATCTTCTCTTAATGAAAAACACAAAACAAACTAGGCAGCGACTCGGAAGGAGACCTAGTGTTCTGAATTTTAATGCCTTGTTTAGTGTCAGAGAAGCCAAGGAGCTTTTGTTCTTTTACTAATACCAGAACTGAAGGAATGAATTCTAGTATTAAAGGGGTAGCATTGGTATTGAGAGAAAGGTGGTTTTAAAGTTTACTCTTGTTTTGTACAGGGACATCTCGAAAATTGCCATGCATTACATAATAGAAGAAATAGATGAAGATACATCCATGGAAGATTTGCAGAAAATGATGGTAGTAGCTCTCATCTACAGGTTATTAGTCTGCTTCTATGAGGTAACTACTCATAAACATGAACTTCTATAATTAATAGTTTAAATTTGCTTAAATAGTTTAAATTTGTAATGCATTACATAATAGAAGAACTAGATGAAGATACATCCATGGAAGATTTGCAGAAAATGATGATAGTAGCTCTTACCTACAGGTTATTAGTCTGCTTCTGTGAGGTAACTACTCATAAACATGAACTTCTATAATTAATAGCTGTCAGTTGTTGAATAAATGTTGAAAAAATTCTGTCACTATTGCCCTGTAAAGTAAATCCTCTTTACAGTATTTTGGATTACGTTGAAGCTTATGACATTCACAGAGTTTTGATGAAAACTGGGTTCGCTCGACCAGTCAACAACTGTTGTGTGGAATTGAAATAACTTTTCTTTTACAGATAATCTGTATTTGGGGAGCAGGTGGAGCAACCCCAGGGAAATTCTTGCTTGGACTGAGAGTTGTGACGTGTGATACATCTGTCCTTATTGCGCCCAGCCGTGTGTTAGTCATTCCATCTTCTAATGTCAGTATGACAACGTAAGTGCTCTTAGCTCAGGCACGTTGCTTTCAGGTTACTAGTGTGGAAAGCATGTGATTTGGAAGAAAATACACTTGTTTTTTTATTAGTGGCCTTTGCAATAATTAGATTGCAAGAGCTATTGTTAGATTCTGTGATCTAAGACTAAAATAGCAATTAACCAATCGTGACTGTTTTTCAGGTTAGCTGATAAAGTAATCTCTGAACTCTGGAGATTGATTTTTGTGCTGTGCAAAACTGTGGAACTAAACTTGAAAGTAAACTACCTACTAATATAAGCCGAAAAGTGAAAATAAGGCACTGAATGTTTCATTCTTGTTTCAGGTCCACAATACGAGCTTTGATCAAGAATTTTTCTATTGCTTCATTTTTTCCTGCATTTATTACACTGCTGTTTTTCCAGCATAACAGAACAGCCTATGATATTGTAGCAGGGACTATTGTGGTAAGAAGAAACGGAGTCAGATGATACCAAAAGATGAGATTTCCAGACTGGTTTTGAATATCCCCTCCCACCCCCAGTGAACAAAGACCTACCCCCAAACTGAAATTGAGGTGTCTATCAGAATCTTTTGCCCAAATGAAAGGGAAACTGATTCAGAAGCTAAAGAAAATGTTTTGCTCCGGTATGATGCCAGCAGCTACCTTCAAAGTATTGGAGTTTTCATAAATGCCAAAGAAGTTTGGGAGAAACAGTACATACTAAATCTGGAAGTATTAACCTCCGATGGGTGAGAAAGTGGCTCTATTAGCTGCAGAAAGGAGCTGTTCTGTTCGTCAGTCTGTGGAAAGCAGATACCTAGAAATACTCCACCTTAAAAGAAATGTCGCTCCTACAGCTTTGGATGTTGGCAGGTAACTAGAAAATCAATTTGTTTTCCAAGCAGTTGCCCAAGTCGTAGGATAAACTCTGAGAGGAAGAAAACTGCAGTATTAGACAGCAGGGCAAGTCACGTTAATTAAATTGCCGTGTGCGTAGAAAGAGATGAGCAGTGTTTACCATGTCCCGTATTATTGCTTCACAGATCATATTCCCTCACCTCTTCAAGTATTTTATCAGAACATTGATGTGAAAAGTTTTTTGCATGACTGTCTTAAGCATTGTCACTTATTTCACATGTCAAAGCAAATAAAGAGGTGAAATAATAGCTGCTTTTTCTCTGGGAAGGGTATGTTACACTGCAGTGTTAGTGAATTGGCGTGTGTAAATAATTTTGGAGCTGTGAACAGTACAGATCATGCTATTGAAAGGTAACTTTTTTGCTTCTTTTTGGAGTGAAAGCACTTGTCTATTTCTTGCATATAATACCAAGCAAAACAACTGAATGTGATTCAGGAGCATGCAGAAAACAGTAACTGAAATGTGTTATGGGTGTAAATCTACAGAAGTACAACTACTGGTTATTTTCACTTTATAATTCTGGCTAATTGTTTGTATATTCAGAATAACTTAAATACTGAATAAAGAAACCTAATATTTTGCATGATTACATAGCTTTGATAATTTGTTTATTCCTGTGTTATTAGTATCTTGGGAAAGGAATATAAGCAACAATGTTAATGTTTTATTAAAATTTGAGTAAGACTTTGGAATTCTTCTAGAGCCCAGTTTTTGTGTGTTCTTCCCCTAGGTGTAACTATGCCACTCTGTGGCTGAAGTTCTTACCCTCCCTTCATGTTTTGGAGGTTGACAGTAGAAATGTTTGAGAGCTTGATTATATCTCTCTTGTCTTCTGGTGAAATAACTTAATCAGTAACATGTTAATATTTTGCAATATTTTAGTTTGGTAAGTGGTGTTCTGTTTATTAACATCACGTTCTGTATATGCGTTCTCGTCTTCATTTACAGTGAGTATTTTGGGAGCTCTGAATAAAGCACTTCTGAGGTTGTTAGACCACTTGAAGATTTTTAGCTGAAATAGAACTTCAGAGATATCACTTAACTTTCAAAGAATTGCACTGTTGACTTAAGCATTGAAGTTAAAAGTTCAGGCACGGCAGTCGGCCTGACAGAAGCTAAAGCTGTCAGAACTAACTAAAATCCCTTCTAGGGTGAGTGTTGCCTGTTTACAACTTCCATATGAATATAAAAAGAACTTTTGTTTTATTTACTGTAGCAGTGACCTAGAAACTAGGATTCAAGATGGGGGGAGGAAGGGAAGAGCAACACCATGGGCTAAAACTGTATTGCTACCAATTCAGGTATAAGGGAAAGCACGTCTTACTCTGTAGAAAAATCCCATCCCTTCCTTCTATGGCAGGTAAAGAAAAAAAATAAATCACAGAGCCTGTCCATGGAAATATGCATCCATTACGCCATTGTAAACACTAGCTTTTGGTTTGTCTCTTACGCTAGCTGCACTGAAGACACAGCTTTTTCTTATTTGTAGAATGAGTACGTGAGGTGAGAGCACTAAGGAAAGGAAGTGAAATTTGTGGCATTTTTCAACTTCAGACATCTGGACATACATAATTGCGTATAATCCCTCCACAGCAACAGTGGCAGGATGTGACTGCCTGAATAGCAGCGTACATGTGTGGTTTTAAAGTCTAGTTGCTAAATATTTTCTATTTATAGGAATAGTGATTGGAGCTCTACACATGTAAGAATCCCACGAAAACAAAAGTTAAGTTAGCCTTTGTCCTTCTGTCAAGCCTAGTTCATGATTAGAAAAGTATCTCATTTTGTAATACCGGCACCTGTAGCTGTACAAGGGCTGAGCAGCACTGGGGCGAAGGGCAGAAGTGCTGGCAAAAAACCTCAGCCCCACAGCTGAAGCCATGTAAAGCTTCTGGAACTTATGTAGGTCCCTTCAGTTTTAGCTGTAGCAAGCAATCAGCTCTCAACCATAAACTGAATGCTGTGGTTTAGTAAAAGTTCAGCTGTGGTTCCCAAAATGAACAGAAGCATTTCCTCTCATTTTACTAGAACAATGTCTTTTCTCTAAGAAGCTCCTCTAACTGCTACAGAAGTGGAAAAGACCCAAATTATTCATTTACAATTGGGTGTACTTTTTCCTCTTCAGTTAGAATGGTGGTGAATGTTTGTAACGTTAGCTCTTTTTATAGAGCTATTAAAAAAAAAAAAAAATTAACTGCAACCATTGCAGCTGGACAGGTGACATGCTGACTTATGTCTCTAAGCTTAAGTCTTACAGTAAAACTTTCCTGGCTAACAGGGAACCTCTAAGTAATTTAAGATCCTCTAAAATCAGCATCGGTGTCACTGTCAAAAAGCAGAGGTTGGAGAAAGCATGTGACATCACTCAGGTTGAGTGCATCATCTGGTACCATTACAACTGCAGATACCTTCACGCAGAGTTAAAACTGCCAGACAATATTTCATAGTTTTTATTGATGGCATTTATCCCATGGTTTAACATGTTAATTATACTGTAATAAACATGGCTTTAATATTAAACTTTTCCTTATTATCCAAAGTCACCACAGTCCATTTCAGTAAATATAAAAATATATACTTAATACTTTGTACAATACTGGTTTTTGGTCCAAACAAAAATGGATCAGAAAAGCCAATAAACTTACTTTAAGAATTCCCAATTTTAAAGATTTTCTAAATGGATTTAGGCAACTTTGAATAATGGGATTTACATAAAATCTGAGACAATACTAAACAAAAATGGCCGTAACACACAAAATTAAAATTTCAATTTCACAGATTTGTTATGCCAAAAAAGTACATAGAGAAACAAAATTGTATTTACACATGTTTCATAATAAAATAACAAAGGCGAGACAGGTGATAAAGGGCTGTAAGAATGAAAATATAGAAATAGCATATAATTATTAAATGAAGAACTACAGATCTAACAAGTCCTTAGCATGGATCATCCTTTAATCAGTCTTCCTCTATCAGAAAATTTTAGTGCACAATACACCCAAACTCACTCACTTCACACATACACCAGCACAAACTCAGCATAGAAATCATTCGTTATCAACATTCTCTACTCTATACAGCATCCCTCGCTGATATAATTACAATTTCGAGGCGTCAGTAAACGCAGATGAGCGCACATAGTGGTGCAGATGAAGAGGTATTGTACAAGCCATTCACTGTGCAGGCTCTACTCACGGCTATAGCCAGACCATGCCGAGTCAGTGAAAGAAGTAACTTGCTGGAGCCTAAAATAGTTTTGCTTGAGAACGGCCCTGTTGCCAACTCTATTCGTTACCGAAAAAAATCTAACCGGGGAGAGGGAGGGGGAGGAAAGGGCAGCAGAGTTTTATATTCCTGTAGGCAGATCTGACTTCAGCTAACCCAGCATGAGGTACGATCCCAACAACTGAACAATGCAGGGTAGTAGCTGCTTCGGAAGTTGCTTTACCAATCGGGCGATTATTTTCTACGTCTAACTGCAGTCTTTATCTTCCGACCAGAAACTGAAGATCCAGAGGCAGAGAAAACATTTTTCCCATTAGTCCTATCAAAAGAAATCAGTAGTTCAGAGTTTAGGACAGCGTAGCTGAAAATTCAGTAGCAGCACCGAGTAGATATTCCAGAACAACTGTTTCATAGTCTTGTCTCACTAGTTACCGGCTGGCAACAAATGGCACGTGATGAACAGGAGGAAAAGAGTTCCAGAAACCAAAAGCAATTCTCTCTCTCTTATTCAGAAGGTAAGTAGCAGCACAGTGGCTACACACGGATCTTACCTTTCAAGAACAAGACAGTTTCACACCTGTTGATGTGTGATATTTCTGACAACTAGGCTCTTTTAAAGATACTGTTGCTTAGTTAGCCAGTCAGGCTAATGCAAGGCAGGATGCCCGATTTAGTTTCGAACTCCAAGGTTCATCTGAACACCTCACGATTTAACAGCAGTAGAGGCTGAACACTGTAAACTGATATTACCCACAGCTCAAGTGAAATTCTGATACGGTCTCTTACCCCACTGTAAATGCTGGAGGCTGGCTGAACGAAAATCCAGAGGAGCCAGAAGGCTGTGCCGGTGCTGCTGGTGCAGGAGGATTTGCACCAAAAGTAAATACTCGGGGGTTATTTGGGAAGTTGAAATTAGAAGTATTACTTCCGAACTGGAATACAGAACCTGGGAAGACAGGGTGGAAGCAGAAGGGAGCAAGAAAGTTGAAATTTTAGTTCATCCTTTCCAGCAAAGTCCTCGTGTTCTTCCCGCTGCCTTTAGTGAATTTTTTTACAGGTTGCTCAAGACACCAAAGTTGGGGGAGGGGGTTGCATTAGAAGTGCCAGATTACTACAGGAACAGTGCATAGAAGAATTCCTTCACTTTAATAGAGGGATATTCACTTTAATAAAGGGATTCTTAAAGTAACACTGCTGACCCACTGATAATGAACTGTTTGCTAATTCTGTACCACTGTTAAGTTCATAACTGTGCATACTGAAGTTTAGTAATACAGTCTCAAATTATAGTATTGAATCATGTAGATTTATATTTAAGTAAACTTCCCAGATCGAGTGCATGAATGCAAGGGACTCCCTTTTACTTAATGTGCTAACAGCACCTCATCTTAAAAAAAAATAAAAAAAATCCTACCATCAAAGTAACCAATACGCAATACAGACAATCCAGGGAGATTTTTATCTTTAAACTGCTACCTGACTAACGTGGTATGCCAACTAATCTACTGATTAGTACAAAAATGTCAGTTTGTCAGATACTTTTAATGGAGGCTGAACTTCTGGAGGTAAAGCTTCCGAGAGAAAAAGAGGATGCTTTTCCCTTTAAGTATTTAATGTGATGGTATCGAATACATACTTTCTGGCAGTGTGTTTTTTTAATAATTGCTAGTGTGGAACAGGTCTTTCTTACACTTAAATTATAAGGATTGTTCTCTGCCCCCCTCCCATGGTATTTTATACTTCATCAGTAAAAAGACCTTTAAATAAAGTTTTAAACCCATAAACGCTTATCAATAATTCTGACCATATTCTTACACAACAAAGCCTCCCATCCCAATAAATTGCCAAAGCCTATTAATGAAGTCAGATAACTAAGAACTACTCTAACAAATCCAAAAAATAATATTTTTGCGCTGCTTCTACCATTCTGGTTTGTACAATCTTACCAGTGAGTACACCACAGTTTTCAACACATCCTTTTGATCACTAGATGTCTCGAGAAAAGAAACCCCGATACTTAGGGGTAGGGTTGCAACCTCCATGTGTGCCAAGTCTCTTGTGGAGAAGGCTTACTGGGAAGCTGGTATACCTATGGCACATCCTCCACAGTAAGCAGTGAGACACAAATGACTTAACCCTGTACCCATTATTTTTACAGAGGGTAATTCTTAAATACGTGCCCAAGGCAGAAGTCGTCTTTCTCCATATAATTTAAGGTGCACTTCATGAAAAATCAAATGAAAATACAACCTTTGAGACCAAAAGGGAAGAGGATGGTCGGCACTCACCAGCACTGGGAGCAGCAGAGCCAAAGCCCGGCTGTTGGGTCGCTTGCTGTCCGAACACGGAGGGCTGAGTGCTGCTCGTCACCGAGCCGAAGGCAGGAGGAGCAGGCTGAGCGCCAGCTGAAAACAGCGTTGTCGACAGCGATCCAAAACTTGGGGCGCTTGGCTGGCTGGACCCTTGGCTCTGGCCAAATGCTGGTGGCTGACTGGCGCCAAATGCTGGGCCAGCAGCAGGCGCCGGAGGCCCAGAGCCAAACAGAAACGAAGAGGATGACCCTCGGGGAACAGAAGAGAAATGTCAGTATACGCAGGTTTTTTTCCCCTCCACAAGGATGAATCTAGAAACAAAGGTTCTAAACCCTCCTGTTTCCCAATTCTGGCAGCTGAATACTTATCTTAATTTCAAAGTAACTGTGTGAGCATATAAAACAAATACTACGTCAGCCATGACAAGAATTGCACTTTTTCTTGTAAGTAACATGAGAAACGCCAAGTTTAGGAGAGTCAGACAAAATTAAATCTCAAACACATCGGCTGTCTAGACTCGGGTTACTGTGTTAATGTTCTAGAAACGGATTCCCAGAAATAGTACATTTTAAGTTGTACTTACTAAATGCTGTTCATATCACACACATAGAATACTCATTCAAATTGTATTTTTCAAACACGCAAAATACAGCTCCAGATTTATTAGGATTGTGAGAATGTGAATCCTTCTTGTCCACAACTGCACCCCTTCCTGCCCAACTTCTGGAGGCCACATCAAGCTTGCACTGATCTCTCTGTACTCAAAAACTTGGTTTAGCAGAGTAATTCTCTACATAATATTAACAGACAGCCGGCTCATTTGTTTAGCTGCTCCTGTTCTGCATAGCCAGCAGAAATAACAAAATGAAAACAGGTGACTGAACAGTAAGGCTGAACATACACAGCAAATCTGCTGTGCAAAAGGGCACATTTTTAATAGCACTATTAATGCAATTTTAGCAGCCTTCATGCAACAGAAAATGCTCTCTATTGCGCCGTAATTTGGAACAACTGACTTTTTCTTTCCAAGAAGATGAACAGATACACGGTAAAAGTTAATATTGGCTTCTGCATTAAAAAAAAAAAAAAAAATCCTTTGTGAAGGATTCCCTGCTGGGAAGTAGCTCTGAGGAGAAGGATTTGGGGGTCCTGGTAGATAGTAAATTGTCAATGCGCCAGCAGTGTGCCCTTGCTGCCAAAAAGGCCAATGGAATCCTGGGCTGCATAGGGAAGAGTGTGACCAGTAGGTCGAGGGAGGTCATTCTCCCCCTCTACTCGGCACTGGTGAGGCCACAACTGGAATACCGTGTCCAGTTTTGGGCTCCACAGTTCAAGAGGGACAGGGAACTGCTGGAGAGAGTCCAGCGAAGGGCAACCAACATGATTGAGGGATTGGAGCATCTCCCTTATGAGGAAAGGCTGAGAGAGCTGGGACTCTAATAGCCTGGAGAAGAGAAGGCTGAGGGGAGACCTTATTACTACTTACAAATATCTAAAGGGTGGGTTGAAGGAGGATGGAGCCACACTCTTCTCGGTGGTTCCCAGTGACAGGACGAGGGGCAATGGGTGCAAGTTGGAACATAAGAAGTTCCGTTCCAACACATCGAAAAACTTCTTTACGGTTCGGGTGACAGAGCACTGGCAGAGGCTGCCCAGGGAGGGTGTGGAGTCCCCTTCTCTGGAGATTTTCCAAACCCGCCTGGATGCAGTCCTGAGTAATGTGCTCTGGGCAATCCTGCTTCAGCAGGGGAGTTGGACTAGATGATCTCTAGAGGTCCCTTCCAACTCTGAAAATTCTGTGATACTGTGAAGATGTTTGAAATGCAGTCTTGTCTACTAATGAAACGACACTGAACGTTACTGATTTCTAACAGGTTAAATTGGTCTGCTGGTTGTTATAATTTATGACTATTTTCTTTCTGTTTCCGATACACAAAGAAATGTGCAAATTTAATTTCTGTGAATGACAAGGTTAAGCAATCAGATCAAACTACATGGAGTCTCTTCCTCACAGGTTCAATCTTACTTCCAACATACTGCTAGGACAGCAGGAGTACAGATGATTTGGTGGATTTAGTCTTGTGTCATACTGCTAAATTCATGCAGTGGGGAAACAAACATAAAACATGAAGGAACTCTTATAGATTCTTATTTCTTTCTTCTCTAAATTGCTAGAAAATTAACAAACACTGGCCATAATGCTTATTAGAAACCAATCCTTAAGCAGCAGCAATTGCATGTAGAGATACTGTGTTTATATATGTGAAGGAAGGATTTTGCAAATCTTGACATTATTTACAACAGTTGAGAGTTTTAGGTATGGAAGAGAAAAATCAGGAAAGTTGTAATTCATTGACTTCTAACTGTAAGCACAAGACTGACAGTGAGAAGAAAGAAACTATCATTCTCATGGTGAAAATTCCTATGCAAATTGACATCCAGTAAAGGACTGTCCTTTGCATAAAACAATTCTGCTGCCAGTGCATTCCTAAACTGTATTTCCCAAACTGAAAAACTGAGCCCCAATTTATATTGTTGAATACTCAGTATTCTCCTCTACTTTCATGCATTTGACCTACACATTCTCTAAAGTAAAGCATTTGTGAAACAGTATTTCTTTGGTCCCCTATGTAATGGCAAAAATGAGAAGAGTGTCTATTCAAAAGATACCTGTTGAACTTGATGTGGTTGTGGCTCCAAAGGTAAAACCTGAATTTGCTGCATTGGTACTGCTGGCTCCCGAACCAAAGAGAAATGAAGCAAGAGCCGTGCTGGAAGATGTGGTTGCTGGTTTGTTTTCTTGAGAGAAGCCAAATGACTGAGATGCTGCAGATTCTGTAGAATTGCCAAAAACAGAGCTGCTCACAGTGTTGCTGGGTTGTCCAAACACGAAGGGAGCGGGAACGGGCTGAGGATTTGAGGAAGAGATGGCGCTGCCAAACACACTGCTGCTGTTGGCTGAAGTGGTGGGTACAACTGTGCTGGAGGAACTTGAGCTCAGGAAGCTGAAGGATGGCTTTGCGGCTCCTTGATCTGAAAGGAAGAACAGTGCATAAACCACCACAGAAATGCCAAAGTACAGCAAACACTCCTGTTTCAATCACTGTCCAAAGAGCAATCATGAATGACACCTCAACTACTATCCCAGCTACTGTCGCTTACATAAGATTCAGATTTAATGAGCTGATTGCTGTCATCAACAACTAAAGGAATGGAAGAATTGTGAAGAACAAAGCTACCACTGCACTCGAGGCTTCATTGGTTACAAACACTAAACATTGGCTGTCATTACCCATACCTGTATTAAGCAGTACTTCTGAAATACATTTCAGATCAACATCAATCACCTGTAACAGTTTTATGGCTTTGCTCAATGGAGTATTGAAAAATGCAGTGACACATTTGCATTTGTAGCTCGTTCAAAAATACAGCCCTGTGCCTACAGCTTTTAAGTCAAGCCAAGCCTACCATCCTCCAGCCTACCTCTTCCAAGCTTAAGTTCATTGTGCTTAAACACTTGCAAGACCTGCTTTTAGGAGTAACACAGAACAACCCTCCATTAAGACCATTGTTAGAAAGTACTGAGTGCAGTTTCACATACTTACAATAGAGCTGTCTTTTAAAGTCACTCATTCTTCAGCTTTCCCTAAGCTGCTGGTCTAATTCTTGTTATTAATTTGGGATCTCGTTTTCAATTTCCCACTATCTTTTTTTCCCAGCAGTTATGGCCCCTTTTCATCTATGCCATTTTTAAGGGACTATACCATTCTTCAGAACACTTGTTAAAATTTCCTTTTTGCACAAGGTGCTTCATCAACTTTCCATGACTAAACCAAACTCTGGAACTTTACCTGGTAGGTGAAAAACCAACCAACCAAAAAACCTCAACCTCAAAGCTGCCCACCCACCCATCTCCCCTCCCCCAACGCCCACAATCCTGCAAAAACCTGTCTGTTCACTAGCAGTTCAACCTAAGAATACTGTGATTAAAACCAGTATAACCCTATGTATTGCTTTTATTCAGGGTTACTTACTGATGTGCTTTTCCGTATCACTTCAGAAGTTAGAAACTAATTCTGTTCTCTAAAACACAGTTGCTAAGTCATACAAATGGAATTTAACAACCAGAATTTTTCCACACAGTAATCACCACTGAAGAACTTTAATCCGCCACTGTAGACTTTCAACAAATTAGGATAGAAAACTCTGTAATATCTATGAAGTTATTTTTATACCTTTGTAGCAGTAGGGACATCCTGCAGCATAGCTGCAAGTACGTGGGAGTAAGACATTCCCTTCCTCATCCCCTTTCACTATGAAAAACAATGCTGGTAGAAGGCCCCTATACTGCACCACGCTACAGATTTTATCACTAGCTGTGCTGTGCTGCTGCCACTGAGACAATACAACTCCTGTGGTCATACAAGAAGCAATACAGGTTCTTAAAGGTGTGGCAATTTTTTTTTGTCTAAACCTAGTGTTAAAACTCACTGAAATCTAAAAAGGACTTGCTACCTATTGTCTACAGAACAACAACCAGAACTAAAGACAGGCTGCGGGTAGTAATTAAGCCTTTTCTAAAGCTCTAGTGCATAAATAGATGTAATCCCTTAGATTTTTGTCCAGTATGGCTTCAGAGGTATTATTTGATGGACAGGAGCAGACAAGCGAAGACAAAAGATGTTCCATCTACCTGAAGTACTGGTTTGTGCCCCAAATGCAAAAGACGGCTTTGCCTGCTCAGTTTCCTTCTCCGATGGTTTGACGAAACTAAAATTGAATATAGGTTTTGCTGTGCTCTCCTCTTTGGTATGCTCAGCCGTCCCAGCTGAAAAGATAGGTTGTGCCTTTAACTCTTCATTGTCAGCTTTCTTTCCAAATGCTAATGGAGCAGCAGAAGTGACAGAGTCCTGTTTCTCTTCTGTCCTTCCCAAAACAAACTGTGAGGCAGAGGCACTCTCCACACTGCCAAAAGAGAAGCCCCCCTTTGTTGAAAGACTTTCATCCTTTTTCTCATCTGACTTCTTAAATGCTAGAGCAGGTGATGCTACCTCCTTTTCTGCCACAGTTCCAAAAGTGAAACCACTGACTCCAGTTTTATTCTCATTGGTAGCTACGGAAGAAGTTGAACTCGTGCCAAAACCAAAGCCTCCCAAAACTGGTTCCTCTTTCTTTTCCTGCTGTCCCAGGCTCGCTGTCCCAAACTGAAATGTGGAAGGTGCCTGACTGCTTGTAGATGGCAGTCCAAAGGTAAAACTGTTACTTTTACTTTCTTTTTTACTGTCTTCTGATTTAGAGTCTGAGGAAGAAACTCCAAATTTGAAGTCCCCTGAACTAGTAGGAAACTTAAAACCCCCAGTCACAGTGTTGGAGGATGCAGATTCAGATGCAATGCCGAACTTGAAGCTCCCTTGCTCTCCGAATTTAAAATTTCCTGTGCTACCTAACGTATGAGAAGATTCAGAGGAGGACGACTGGACACCAAATGTAAATGATGGCATTGCAGCATTTGTGGACACAGTAGGAGTACCAAAACCTGCAGAAACAAGCAATAATGTTAAGTTTGCAATACATGATGTAGTAATACATGCAGACTTTAGCAACATGATTGGGATTCTAGTCCTGAACTTCCCATAGTTAGAACTATTTAAAAAAAAAAACAACCAAACCACAAAACAGATAGGAAAACTCCACACTTCCTCTCTATGTACATCCTTTTGCAATGGTATTCTTCCATCCACCACCTGGCATTGGAAAAGTATACAGCTGGATTCCTTGAAAGATCATGCTTTTAGTCTTAACTCCCAGTGAACAACACATAAGGCTTGTAAAGAACAGCTATGTCATTAATACAAGCTTTTCTCTAAACAGAACAATCTTTTTCCAGTGAAATGGTGTGGAAACATAGGCATATTTACCTTACTTGAGCAATATTCCTAGAGGAAAAATGAAAAATTTTGCTATACCTCAAAGGAAAAATAATTGTACTCAAGAAAAAAACACCCCAAAATGCCCAAACACAAAAGAAAAAATAAATTGCAGAATGCACACCCTTGTTTTTCTCATTAAGCATTACCTTTGAGTTCTGCTTTGGTGCCTGGCTTTGCACTTTCACAGGATACACATTTTGTGGCTTCTGCTTTGTTTTGGACCAAGCAGACCTCACAATCCCAGCTTCCTTCGGGCTTCTTGAATTTGTCTAAATCCAGAAATCCTCCTGAAGAAGCAGAAAATGCAGAAACACTGCTACTGGTCACAGGCACTGAACTCCCTGAGAAATAAGCAAGATAGTTAATCATCCTGCTAAAATAATAAAGTGAACATGAACTTTTTAAGAAACTCTTAAATGCTTACTAAATTACAAAGCGGACAAGCGTAACAGTAAAAACCCGTCAAACAACAAGTTAATTTCAGTCAAACTCAATCTGAGAATGTAAACAATAGAAACACCTAGATTCTTCTGTATAATCTATATATGATTATAAGAACAAATCGAACCAATAATGTTTAAACAGCAACTGCAGATCATACAATACAGCAACATAGCCTGTTTCAGATGCAAATAAAGGTACTGTACTCAACTAAAACTACTAAAAGAATTTCTGGCGACATGAGTAACCCGTAGTCAAAGTTAGCACCACTCAACTTAATGATCACTGTCAAGTGATGTGAGGCTGAGAATTTACCAGAATGATTCATCACCAAATCCCAAAGACAGACATGTTCAAAACTACATCGTTGCAATAAACCAGAGAGGAACCCAAAGATTCGAAACCCACAACCCTGTGCTCACTACACAAGCTACGCTGTCTTCAACAGCAGCAGCAATCTCCATAAAGAGGCCTGAAAGATTTTTCTCCCTGGTAAAGGAAGAGATGTCACTTGATGCTGCACCCCAACAGAAAACTTCATCTCCGTAAGTGTGAGGACTGAAGTGGACATTCAGAAGGCACAAAAGCATCACATAATGTTCACCTATGGTTTTAAACTACTGAGGGTGGCATTTAAGAGAGAGGCAGAAGATAATGTCTCAAATTCAAAACAGTAAGACCGGAATGGGTCTTCTCTTCCACAGCACATTCAGAAAACTTCTGTCCTCCCATTTTACTTATCTTGCTATTCCCCTTGCAGATGTAATGTAATTGTGCAATTCTCTCTACCATGGTGGTCATGGTAAACCTCTCACTCTTCCAGAATTTCTCCTTGCAATGGATAAAGTCTCAAACAAAAGTGTCAGCTAATCAGTCTGAGGCTGAAAGTCCATGAGAATAAGCTTCCTCTGAAATGCATTATCTTATCTAAAGAAATATCACTCTTACTGTACAGGATGATTACAAAAGCACAATCTAGTCCATCTTAGATTTTTTTTTCCCCCAGGATAAATTTGCGAATGTGTTTTTTGACATAATAGTATATTAAATTATGTTAAGAGCCAATGAAAATTAACACTAGAATAATTATTTGCGCTTTAAAAACAATATGCTCACCACACTCAAAATCAATTACAATCATGTATAACGGGAAACAACCCAGGGCTGCACTGAAGAAGGCGCTGACCTCTCCAAGGTCTGGAAGGACCCTGACCTTCCAGAACAAGGTCACCCATGTTCCGGAAGACTACCACTGGCGTTCATAGGCATAGCTGAACATTAGGTTTTGTTTTAGCTTAAGACAACTAGAGACTACACTGTCTTGAAATCTGGCTTCATACCTCTGCTCAATTACACACAAACGCTGAGTGGAAACATTTTTGGCCATGTTCTGTAAATGCCATTTCTACTTATGTTTTGAAACAGAAAAAAACCCAGTAATTTTTAACTCTTTCTATGGAGTTCACATTTTTCTCCAATGCAAATAAGTAAATTGGTTTTAAGTTAATTAAGACATCCAGTTTAGTCATCTTTCCTCACCACCTGCAAAGCAGGGTATAGTTGCTTCAATTCAGCTCTGTACTAATACATTTTACAATCAGTTCAATTAATGTGACAGGCTGGAATCTAGGCTGAGACCTCAAAAGTGCCTGTAACCATTCCTGCAGACAGGCACTAATCTATCCTGTCTGGCTTACAGCCATGTTGCTGAAAATATTTTTTATATGCAACGTATTTTATTCTGTAAAGAATGCAGAGGCCGAGAGTGAAACAACAGAAAAGAGAACACACCTGGTTTCTCAGACTGACAAGCTACACATTTGCTGTCTTCTGCCTTATTTAATACAAGGCACACCGCACAGTCCCAAGAGCCTTTTGGCTTCTTAAATTTGTCTCCAAACCCCAGAGTGACTGTTGTGTCAGTGCTGCTGGAGGAGGATGTCACTGTCACCGAGTTGTCTGTGACCACTGGCAATGTCAGAGCAGGCGTTACTCCTGTCCCAGGCTTTGGTGTCTCACAGGCTATACATTTTGTAGCTTCGGGTTTGTTCTGGACCAGACAGGTATCACAGTCCCACGTGTTGGGTGCTGTTTTAAATTTGTCTTCAAAGCCCAACGTCCCGGCTGCAGGGACCGCTGCCTTAGAGGTGACACACTGGCTTGAGCTTATCGTCTGTTTCGTACTCTCAACTGTAGACACGTTAGCAGCTTGACATGTTACACATTTGCTATCTGTGGTTTTGTTTTGCAGACACAGGTCATGTGTGTCAGACTGCCAAAATGAAGATGATTGCTTAGGGGTGTCTTTGCCTGCAGAAAAACTACTTATTGCAGGCCTTGTATAGACCACTGTGCTTGTAACAGGCTGTGCAGATGTAGAGGAGTGTGTTTTCACAGACGTAAAGCCTAGAGAAAAAAAAAATAAACAGGAAGAGATCTTACTGATAAAGTAGTACCCCTCACTACACGTAAGTTACTTATAATACTAGACGGCATAAATTTAAACCAAGTGCCAATGGTTACAACTATACGTTCCAACTAACTGCAAAAGGAAGTCCCTGGAAATCTTATCTAAATGGATGAAATTTCATATGCTGCACTGGGACATAACAGAACATATATTTAAAGCTTGATTTAACTCTTCATTTCCAAGAAAGTTTTAAATACAAATCTTCACTGGTAGATACAAGTGTGAACAAACAGTGCTGAAAGCTGACTATCCATCACGGGCTAGAAAGAATCCAATTTCATTTTAAGACGCCATGCCCAATCAAATCAAATTTCTAAAGCTATTTCTGCCATAGTAGATGACTCACATTTACTTTAGTAGCTGTACAGCAGTTGGTACTTGGAGCAGCAATCCACATGCTATTTCCCCCCAGATACTGAGTATTAGTTAAGTAATAAAAACGAAGACAACAGAACAATTGTTATCTATAATCTTTGTGCAAAATGCACTGTATTCAGACCAACTCATTATTTAAAGGTGCCAGTTTTAATACAAAACAAGAACCACCAATATGGAAACACTAAAGAAAATGCTACAGCAGTGCATCTTAAATAGCAGCACAAATCTCTTATAAAGCTAAATTGAAGAGCTAATTTTTTTTAAATTATTATCTTATTTTGGGGTGTTGGTTTTTTTTATATCAGAAGTTGAGTCTTTGAACAGTGTGGATTTAGAACCTGCTTCTCTTAAACTGAAAATTAATGTCACTTCATCCATAGATCTTTCCTTGAACAAAACACACAATATATTTTCTCTCTTAGCACTTTCCGATATAAAATGGTGGTGTCTTAAGAAGTATATAGATTTGTCACTTTAAAAAAAAGTCCTGATGCAACTGAAGGCTTATGGCAGAAGATCAAATTCAATAAAGTCCCTTTTCTTAAAACAAAAACCGTCATCTACACACAATATGTTTTATTGAACAGTTGAGAACAACTGCAATTGCTTAAAAATAAAAATTAAAAAAGGCTTTTAGAAGAGAAACAGCCCACTTCTACTTAAAATTTACATTTGAATCCATAGTAACTGTTACCATTTAAGGCCAAAAGATTTGCAGCTTTTGAAACACCTTTAGGAATAAAACTCTTTACTATTCTTAATTTCCAGAGATTGTCAAAGTTGGAGAGGAATGTTTGTAAAGAACTTTACAAACGTTTCCTTTCCAATTCTATAACTTTTACTTATTTAAAGTGAAACACTGATAATTTGATTAATTCTCTTTATATTTCATTTACAATTACATCCTAACGCGTAAAGGAAAAGCAATGCACCTGGTTTGAAGTCGCAGTTTTCCTTTCAGCAATAAAAGCCACTTAGAATAGAAGGAGAGATCCACCCTAACAGATACAGTGTTTAACATAATGCTCTCCTATGTTTGCATTTCTAGCTAAAATTGCATTAACCATGACAAAGGGGATTTTTTGTTGTTGTGGTGGTGTTTTTTTAAAAAGCAATGTAGTTATATACTAGTGTATTTTTTGCAGTATCTTTTAAAAAGCAGTTCATTATCTCACCAGGGCTTTTTAGAATGTCTAACACACTTCCTTCCTTTAAGACCTTTGCAGGTTTGGAGGGACCAACATATTCTTCTTTTTCTTCCTTCTTATTGCTGGTGCTGTTTACAGTGGCAGTATCTTTAAAAACAAAATAAAAAATGCCTTTCACAAAGAAATCCACTTAAAATATACTCACACATGCTAGAAACAAGAATTTCCAACTTTCATGCTTCTTATATAAGAATCTTCAAAATTCTACCTTGTTTACAACATTTTATAATTACAATTTGGTTAGAGGTAGATCTGTCACAGAAAACACATTTTGCCTCGAATTGCTAATATGCTCAGAAAGGACAGATTTACTATTTAATATACAGAAAAGAGAATCAGCACTTCAGATCAGAAATGCTAAAATTTATTACCTAGAGTAAGTAAGGACGTCACTGGTGTATCACTGGATCCAGAAAGCTCTGCTGATTTTACAACAGGAACACTAAATGTAAACCCAATCTGCTATGAAAGAGAGAGATTTTTCAGATTCTGAAACTAAAGAAACTTTAATCAAATTTCAAACACAAATAAAACTCTGAAATCCAGTCTTCAAACTTTTGACATACGTGCCGGATGACAAATTATAAGACAGAAACTTATATATTTGTTTTCCTCATTATCAGGGCCAATTCTGCTTTATTCTGAAACATTCTGCTAAAGGCTTGAGAAAAGGTTGAGCTTTATTTATTTTACTTACAGACAACGGAGGCAGCACTTCTGCCTCAGTAGATTTCACAATTGGAGATGAAAATCTGAACACCGGACTGCCAACATTACTTGCTGGTTGTACCTGTATTTTCAAAAGAATTAAGGTTTGTATCTAAAAGAAAAACACCCTAGTGAAACAATAGCAGCTACCTGAACTCACTGTCTAACAGATGTTGTGCAGTGAATTTGGGAAATCTAATGTTTTATATTTATTTCTAATCCACAGATGAGAGTTATAATAAAAGAAAATGAAGCTTGCAAATGAGCATATAGTACAATATCATCAAAACCAAATCCCATAAACCAAGAGAAAAAACTGAGATGCTACTTAGATGTAAATATATTAAATATATGGAAAAGCAGACCAGGCAGCTTAAGAACCTTAAACTGACTCAGCTTAATTGTAGTCAGAGCTTCAGCAAATACCTCAACACGTTAAAGCAAATGACTGCTTCAAAACACACAAAAATATTTCAAGTACTCTGGAACAGATGTTTATTTTACTGCAGTAGTATTCCAATTATTGCACCCTAGCATCATTATTCTATACTAGGCTTATATGACGATTAATGCGACCTCTAATTTAATAACTTAACTTGGCATGAAATCCCAACAAAATCGCCACAGCATTTGAAGCAGTTATACAATTATGTTAACCAGAAGTTTGCAATGTATAAGACGGACAGAGGCTGAATCAAAAACTTTGCTTCTGCTCACTTCCAAATTGGAATACAATCCTGATTTATTCAATAGGATGCAAACTAAAGCTGGTTAGTTTCACGAGCACCATGGAAGAACTTAACATGCAACGAAGCAGACACATACACATCCTAAAAAGGTATTCACGATATACAACAAAGATTTACCTTGTTCATCACTGCTGTTGAAACAGTGCTTGGTGATGATGAGGCAGTACTACTGGCAAGAAAACTGAAGTTGAACGAAGGCAGCGATGCAGTACTGATGGGTAGGGGTACTTTCGGTAGTACTGGTTCTTCCACCTCCTACGTGTAAATTTTAATTGTTGCACACTTTAGTTTTTTTCTTTCTTTAAAAAAGTTGTAAATTGTAGTTTTTCTCTTTTATAAGACATACTACTTTCCTACCCTGTCCTATCCTTAATTTCTTAAGTCATATTTAACAGAGATATTTACAGATTAAGACAACGCAAGTTTTCAAAAGGAATCCCAACCTCCCCACCTCAGTCTGCCAGGTCATTTTAATTTATGGCAGGCCTGTTTCCATGTGGTACTATGTTTACCACCTGAAGTGGTAAATAGTGAAAGTTAGCTCAAAATTGTTATTTGTGCAGAACAGAGGGGCACAGACCAGATTTTTGTTTTCTGTACTTTAGTTATTAAAGGTCTAGAGAAACATTATCCTTTCTAATTATTCTCTCATCCCTTCAATTAATAGTACACTCTCAAGAAAAATGGGAAAGTGTCCCTCTTACAAGATTAGGCAGGACAGCTGTCAAAGTTTCTGAAGTCACTACTGCAGTGAGCTTGGAAAAAGGTGACGTTTAAAGAAGTATGTGGGTTCCTTAGAGAACCAAAAATCCCAAACCAAAGCACAAAATGCCAAAAAAAGAAAGTCTGACTAGCAGCAAAGAAGATCATACTATGGTAAATTTAGTCTACATCACGTATCAGGATGCAAATTTAAAACTCAGAAACCAGTGTACCTTAAAAACTTCTGGTCTAATCCTTGCCTTTTAAACTGTTTGATTACCAACATTCGATTAGTTGGGGTTTAAATGGGAATAGCCAATGTAATCACAATTTGCACAGTAGTACCAAGATCTACCCCGAAGTGACCAAGCAGAGATGTAAGTTGCTACTACAGAAATAATAATCTTCGAGGTAGTCATGACCATAGTTTTAATAAATGGAGTTTTCCCATTAAAACAAGAAAAAAACCCCTCCCACAATGAGTTTGATTAAGCACCAAAAATTGTGAATGATCATTAGCAGACATGCAGAACACTCTCTTCTGCTTCAGACTCTTGGCCTGTATCTCTCTACATGACTTAGATATGAAATAACAAATTAAATAAACTTGGTTTACTTACTTGGCACTTGTTTCAAACATCATTCTTTTATAAAAAACTCTACAAACCTCCACCAAAATTCATTCATTCAACTGCTAATGAGAAACTTCATAGTGTGAAGCATCTCCAAGGTAATACGACTGAAGATTTCAAAAATATAAAATTAAAGTTGAGGCACTTAAACAGATAAATAAATTGGAGCCTGCCTCAAAACCCACAGAACAAAACCTCACAAAACTGAAGTGGCATTATTATAAATTACTATGAGGCAATAAAGCTTGTATTCTTAACTAGTTACTTCAGTAATCTCAGTGACAGCAATTAACCTGAGTCCCTTACCTGTTGTTCTTGTCCAGGTTTTGATACATAGTGTA